TTTCAAGTTTTCATATTATATAGCATGTTGTTATCAGCCGTGCCTTCTTTTATTTCCTTGGCAAAGAAAAACATAATGGTTTCTGCTGTCAAGGCCAACAACTTTCCTCCTCATTTACCATTGGCTTAAAATCTTATCTCATTAAGTGCAGTAGATTTAATACTGTACATCCCTTAGATACTTGAAGTTAATTTCCGGTTTCCATCATTGATTGTCTTGATGATATTCAGCCCATCATTTTATCTCTGTATGTATCAGTTTATGTCCTCGTAATTGCAAAATAATGATATTGTTTACATCTTCTTTCCTTTCCAGACAGTCACACTCAGTAGTATAAACTATATTCTTGAATCATTTTTTTTTTTTATAAAATCCTAATAAAATAATTTCAGCATATCCAGAGATTTTTCTTGCAAACTAGCTAAAATCAAGTTAGTTTCCTTGCAATGTGTTAATAGTCATAAACATTTTGATAAGCCTTATATAACTCTCAATGAATATTCATAGGCATTATGCCATTATATTATGTAAAAAAATTGGTGTCATATAAAATATCAGTGACAGGTATAAATTGAAATGTAAATTACACCTGAAAAAAAATATTACATAATCTTGAAAATTTACTACAAATTCAGCAGCAAAGCGAACTATGGCTGCATTAAAACAGATAAAGAGCCTCATAAGAATATATATATATATAAAAAATATATAAATATACAAAGACAATACTCATATCAAAGGTTCTTCTTTAAATATAAAAGAAGCACATTTTCATGTCTGCAATTTAGCTCACATCTATGCTGTTTTAATAGTGGAGGAATATAGCAGAATATGCAAGTATAACATGATAAAAACAAATGAAGAGCCACATTCTCCTCACCTGGTGTATCGTTTTAAAATATGGGAAAACTATCATAGTTTTAATCACTGAAATAAAAGATTAATTATAATCCTTTATTTTATTTTTTTAATTTATACAAAGTAATACCCTTCTCAGTGCATACTACTACATAAGGTTGGCCATCTTAGCTACTTTGGATGAAAAACATGTGAGTCCATCAAGTTCAGCATCACATCTGTTTCTGCTGTTAAAGGCAGAAAAATCCAGTTTGAATGGTTTGGGGGGCCTCCATGTCCATTTTGCTTGGGGCCCACAAATTCCTTCAAACGGCCCTGCCCAGCCCCAGCCCCTTTTTCTCTTTCTCCTCTTCCCCAGCCCTTCTTTCAGACTCTTTCCCATGCCACATCACTTCTGTGTCTCTTTCCCCACAGGTCCTCTGTGTGTATCATTCTCCCCTTCCCCAGCTGCTTAAATTTGCTAGGTTTTCTTCATAGCTGAAATCTAAAACGTCCCTTATTAATTTTGTAGCTTGCTCCTCTGCAGCTTTTCTAGTGCCATAACATTCTTCTTTAGAACAGGTGCCCAAAATATCACAGCATATTTAAGGTGTGAATTAACTTTCAATTCCTATTTCAAGATCATTCATAAAAACTTAATACCATAACTTCTTTAAATAATTATTTATTGCACTTTACATTGTACTTTACATTGCTAAATGACATTGGATTGTACATTGACACTTAATGCTGTTAAAGGATTTTGCACTTTAAATTTTAGTGTACCTGTTTTTTCTGCTTATAGTAAATATAATTCCTTGCCACTATTCAAGATCTGCAACATTATTATAATAATCTGCGTTTATATAGCACCAGCGTATTCCACAGCTCTTTACAATATTATCACATGCGCAATACCAAAATAAGAGGTAATTCGTTTGCTAAATTAAATGCATCTCATTGTTATTTAGATACAACTGACTGACACTTGTTAATCCTAACGTGGTGAAACTACTAATTTTTCTACATTCCCTCCCCATCCTTATGTTATCTTCAGGACATTATTCTTTCATTTACAGAAGAGGAGATGGCTGGTGCTATAAACTTTTTTTTTCTTATAAATTTTATTGTAGAAAATATATGATATACAATCAACATATATACAGACATAAATACATATACAATGTGAACGACATAAAATTACAAGCCATCAGAGAAAATCATATCATCCTGAGGAAAGTCCTAATGGAAGGACTGAAACGTTGATCACAGCTTTTTACTACTTGACAATAAACTTTGGACTTTTATTCAAAAAACCGTGAGTGCAACCATCCATTTGTATTTTTATATATATATATATATATATATATATATATATATATCTATATCTACATATAATGAAATAACAATACACATATCGACAATCCACATTGATAACACATGAGTTTTAACAATGAGTCTACAAAGTTACCAACAATATAATAAAAATAAAATGTAAAAAAATAAATAAAGGATAAATGCAATTACATTTAAAAAAAAAGTGGGGGGGGAAATAATAAAAAGAAAAAGAAATGATACAATAAAATATTTTTACATGTAAAATCATCCTTAAAAAATGTAATTTTTAGTTTATATATATTATATATATACAAAATGACTGAAAGTTGTTGCAATATTAACAGTATATATTTACATAGTTTGGTTAAATGGGTATCATATTACTAAATTGTATTTGCTTCAGACAATTTTTCCCATTCATTCCATTCTTGTCTTGATATAATATAATTTTTCAGGAATGGGCGGTAGATTAATTTGTGATGTTTATTATTTAGAATAGAGTAAAAAATCTCTTTAACATCTGGCAAGTCACTAGTTTTCCAATATCTGGTTATGGTTGTAGTTGCTGCAATTAAAATATGACCTAACATTATTTTCATTCTTTTAAATAGACACATTTCGGAGATCAACTGGGGGATTAAATCTGTGATTGTATATATTAATTTGTGGACTGATTTCCAATGTGAGCTAACCTTGGGACATGTCCACAATATGCGACACAATGAGCCTACTTGTCTACATCCTCTCCAACATTTATCCAAATTAATTTATTTAAATTTATGTAATCTAGAGGGTGTAAGATAACATTGATGAATGATTTTGTAGTGGGACTCTAAATGTGCAACACACTGTACATGCAAACCAGTCGGTTGCAAATGCGCCGCTGCACATGCAAACCAGTCTGTAATGTCCAATTTAAAAAAAATCTTTTTCCCAAGCAAACATTGAATCATATTTTGGCTGCTATTTTCTATTAAATATGAATATCAAATTGAAATGGTTCTCTTTTTGCTGGGATTTGAAATGTATCTTTTTTATTAATTTCATAATTCAGGTGAACATTGATATAGATTGTTTTCTAAATGGGCACATTTAATTTTGAGTAATTAACTTATTCTTTCATGTGTGGGGCTGTCAGAGTCAGTTAAATTAAATGTGTCTTTTAATTGCATTTATGGGGTAAGTTTGTTTGATGTAAAAAAAAAACAGTTATACTGAAAATAGAATGTTAAGTTTAATAGTCAACGTTTAATTCTAGGATGTCTTTTCAAGATGGAAATAGAAGCTGCTTTAGACCAACTTTTATTGTTTTTTGTTTTTTTAGACAAGATGTCCTAAGCTTTTATTGTAACCTTTGTTGATAGAAACATATTAATGAAAGTTGGTCTTTGTTTGTTTTTATCATTTTCATGTTGGATTTTCCAAATATCAAATAATCCATGAGAACATTGGAAGTTTGGAGCATTGGAAAGCCAATTTTACGTTAATATGATCTTTTGTATATTTTTCTTTTTCTCTAATAATATCTTTGTTCACAATCCAACATGAAATTAGTATCCCCCCCTTTTATCATTCTGTCCTAGACATTCTTGGAAACTTTTTTACTAATTTTTTTCAGAAACTGGTATTGCCCAAAAATTGGGTAAGTATACGTTCACCAGGGTGTAACCAATACCACCAATTCTCCCTTTCCAAATGAAAAATCATCTGTTTAAGTCAGTAATTGTTTCATCAGTATTGCAAGCCAAATTCTTGTGAAAAAAAATTGAAACTCCTTCTCCTCCTTGAATGTTGAATGATGTTGGATGGGATAGTCCCTTACCAGAGTTGGAGTAATGTTATTTTTATTAAAAAAAAAAAATGCATCTCCTGTATAAACAAAATGTCAGATTTTTGTACTTTTACTTCCTTATATAATAATTGTCTTTTGTGTGGCATGTTAAGACCCCTCACATTAAATGATATACATTTCAATATAATTTTTCATAACATAAAAACCCATTCGGCCCATCTAGTCTGCTATCCCACACTTCACACAAAAGAAGCAAAATACAAAATAGCAATATTGATAATGATATATATGACCCATTTAATCAAATAACAGCAACATGATGATAACATTTTTGTAAAAGGACATATATATATATATATATATATATATATATATAATTAGGGGGTATCTCATAATTAAATAAAAATGAAAATAAAATATATACAAAATAAAAGTTTTAAGAGGGGAAATGAAGACTTTCCCCTCTTCTTTATTAAACAGGCTCATAATGGAGTGGGAAGGTAGATATCGGAATTATAAATACATTTTAATATTCTCATTACCTAATGAGAGTTAAAAACTATGACATTAATAAATATTATTAGTTAATTAATTTTAGTAAAACTTATCAATATTAAATCAAACCATATGGTTAATGTATATTTAAACTAATTGTATTAATTAAGCTATTTTATAATGTTATCCTACAACTAAAAGGTATTTTAATAGAATAAGGATAGAGGGAGTAAGGTCAAGAAGACAGAGAAGGATAGAGAGAGAAAAAGAGACAGAGAGAGAGAGCAAGAGAAAAAGAGAGCTAAAAAACCCTCAACCCACAAATGTGTATACAAATTCATTATTTATTTGTTTAATATAACTGTACCCATTCTAACCCGTGTGAAAATCCATTCGCAACTGAATTTTCATTCACCAAAAGTGCTAAATACACAAATGTCGGCAGATATAATCTTCCTTGCTGGCCAACTGCCACTTTGTGTGTATATATATACACACACACACACACACACACACACACACACACACACTAGTTTTTAGTAATTTGGTCTGTGCCAACTTATCTACTTGGATAGAGAGATAAAGATATATATATATATATATATATAAATATATATATATATATATCTCTATCCAAGTAGATAAGTTGGCACAGACCAAATTACTAAAAACTAGTTGTGGGTTAATATGCAGCACCAACAGGATACCTAGGTAATATGGTACAGACAAATATAAAAACAGAAAAGTGCTAGTGCGCAAGAATATATATATATACACCGAAACACCTTAAGTGTGGAGAAATGACTCTAAGATGTATATGAGAGAATTATAATCCCCAACAAGAACCATACGTGCCAAACATTGACAAATTGATACTTATGCCTTGTCAATAGGCATCACTGGTCTCTGTGACCTGGGAGACAAAAAAAAAGAACAAAGGGGGAAGGGGGAAGACAGAGAAAGCACTACTAGTGCAATAAAGTTACTAAAACCAGTAAAAGCAAAATATCTCTATAAGAAAACAACTCACAAGTCGGGAGTGGTATAAGCACCACTCCTGGCTATCTCGCCCAGGGAGGATCAGCCCCTTGGGTACGTGGGATCCAAGACAAGCTTTTGTGACCAGGTGTTAGATTAACACAATTTATTGATTGCACAGAAACACTCCAAATAACAGCTTAAAACAATGTCCACCTCCAGCTCACCACACTTTATGGAGCCTGAAGAAATGCAGAAAATTGCAGGTACACAGTCCTCCTTGTTCTGTAGCTGGTGTATCTCGCCTGTGGATGTATCCAAACATTTCCGTGTATGCCGAACACGTGGTCACGTGACGCGTTTCGCCCCACCTCTTGGGGCTTTCTCAAACGAGCTTGGTCCTCTCCCACTGAAGATCGTTCTATACATAGTCAGTCCTCTGGCCGTAATCCAATCAGCCTCCAGCATATAAAATTGATTAGTTAAGTTCTCTAAAACTCATGTCTCTATTCTTAAAGCAGCAGATAAATACACATATATTGTCTTTACATTAGAGGAAATTCTCAAACAGGTAGAAATAATGCCCAAATAGAAAAAACAGTCTCTAAAAAATCTGAAATAGGAATCATGCACATACTCTATAAATATACAGCATATGTTCCACACATAGCAATATTCCTGTGAAAACTTAATAACAAACAGTCACATAACCTTAATGTGTAAACATTATCACAGTCACAAAAAAATGGAAGAACACTAAAAAAAAAAACAATTACACAATTACCTGAAACATGGGAGTATAGAAGCATTTGAAAAAGCGGTTCTGAATGATTTTAGGAAACTAGAAAGGAGACATGTCCAACATAACCTTATGCAGGAGGAAAGGACGGCCTTAAAGGGACTCAGAGAAAATGATCTAAAAACACATGGATTTCAAGATCAGAGACAACATGGGTTTACTTCAGGGAGATCATGCCAAACTAATCTTATTGATTGGGTAACTAAAATAATAGATTAGAATGATGCAGTAGACATTGCTTACCTAGTTTTCAGTAAGGCTTTTGACACTGTTGCACATAGAAGGCTTATCAATAAACTGCAATCTTTAAGTTTGGATTCCAACATTGTTGAATGGGTAAGGCAGTGGCTGAGTGACAGGCAACAGAGAGTTGTAGTCAATGGAGTATATTCGAAGCATGGGCTTGTCACCAGTGGGGTACCTCAGGGATGTGTACTTGGACCAGTTCTCATTAATATTTTTATTAGTGATATGGCAGAAGGTCTTGATGGTAAGGTATGTCTTTTTGCTGATGATACTAAGATATGTAACAGGGTTGATATTCCAGGAGGGATAAGCCAAATGGCAAATTATTTAGATAAACTAGAAAAATGGTCAGAGTTGGGACAACTGACATTTAATGTGGATAAGTGCAAGATAATGCATCTTGGACGTAAAAACCTAAGGGCAGAGTACAGAATATTTTAAAGAGTCCTAACCTCAACATCTGAGGAAAGGGATTTAGGGGTGATTATTTCTGATGACTTAAAGGTAGGCAGACAATGTAATAGAGCAGCAGGAAATGCTAGCATAATGCTTGGCTGTATAGGGAGTGGTATAAGCAGTAGAAAGAGGGAAGTGCTCATGCCATTGTACAGAATACTGGTGAGACTTGGAGTATTGTACGCAGTGCTGGAGACTGTATCTCCAGAAGGATATTGATACTTTAGAGAGAGTTCAGAGAAGGGCTACTAAACTGGTTCATGGATTACAGGATAACACTTACAAGGAAAGGTTAAGGGAACTTAACATGTATAGCTTGGAGGAAAGATGAGACAGGGAATCAACACAGTAAAGGAGGAGACTATTTTTAAAAGAAGAAAAACTACCACAACAAGAGGACATAGTTTTAAATTAGAGGGCAAAGGTTTAAAAATATTATATGGAAGTATTACTTTATTGAGAGGGTAGTGGATGCATGGAATAGGCTTCCAGCTGAAGTGGTAGAGGTTAACACAGTAAAGGAGTTCAAGCATGCGTGGGATATGCATAAGGCTATCCTAACTATAAGATAATGCCAGGGACTCATGAAAGTATTTAAAAAAAAAAAAAAATGGGCAGACTAGATGGGCCGATTGGTTCTCATCTGCTGTCACATTCTATGTTTCTATGTTAAAAGGGGGGCTCAGAGAAAGGGCCTAATATGAACCCGTTGTTCAACTCTTTCATTAGTAGTAACTCTGTGCTCATGGGGTCAAGAAGGGAAGACTTTAGGTTAGGACATTCATGAATACCAGTGGGGAGTGTGACAAGGCCAGTGTGAAAACCACCTGTGAACCCCTTGACCAAGAAGTCAACTAGGTGATGGGAAGGGTGTGCCTGGAGGTAAAATCAGGTTGTTGATGCTAACTTCGGTTAGTCGTTGTTTCGGGTACAGACGATTAGGACACATTGTTTTTGTGTGTGCCCTGAAACAAATTGAGCAGACGTGCAACAATCTGCACAAGCTAAATCCACAACTGCCAGAATTAAAGTTGTTACAGATTTGAGCTTTCCCTAGGTATACTAGGGGTCTACCCAATTTGTCTTTATTCCTCTGTGTTCTGCAGTGGAAGGACTGAAGGAAGCACGACTAGTGTTAGGAAGACTAGGATCAACTGGGCACAAGTTAGTGGAGTGTGAGATGGAGGCACACAAGGCACAAGACAGTGGTTTTTGACCAGCAAAATGGTGAAAGAATAGTTCTGTATCACGTTTACTCCAGTTGGTGTGGGTATTAAATTTGGTGAGGTATGCCGCTGCTTTAGCCAAGAAAGATTTATGATAGTCATAAAACGAAAACCCACCATACTTGTGCCCTAGGTCCACCAACTTATGCATGTACAAATCTAACTCTTCTCTATGGTGAAGGGAAATGGAACAGATTACATCGCAATAAAGGCCAAAGGCAATGACAAATTCGGGTATGGGATGCTTTCGGTTGTGTGTGGGGTCTCTGGCTTTCAAAACAACCTAAAGATCACAATAGCAGTATGCCTTGTTCTCAGCTACGTCCTGAGAAGCAATCAGCAATGAGAGTAAGTTTATGTCCTTGCCTTCCAGGATGTCTTTATGAATGGTCGGGGCACGAGGTGGGCGGGCATGATGATGTGAGTGGAAGTGCTCGGTATTGGGTTTGTGGTGGTGTCATTACCGTGGGAGGGAGCCGGAGTGGGGGTCAATGTGGGCGGGACAACTGTCAATGGCTGAGGAGATTCCAATTTGTTGAGCCTAACGCTGACAGTATTGATAGAGGCAAGAAGAGATGACATTAAACCCTTAATTTCGGTATAGTTGTTGGGTTGAAGGACAACTCCCAACTGGGGAGTACAGGCTTTGGAAATAAATATTTTATAGAGTTCCTCCTTGCGAGCTGTAGCTGGGAAAGCCTTGGTAATTCAGCCTTGGCCTAGGGATAGTTCAGGACTGCAGGGAATATGGGCTGGATGCTTGGACCAGCCAGGGTGGAAAGCCTGGCTGGGGTTCTGGGTATAGCGAGTTCTTCATCTTGTTCAGGAATTTGAGACATACTAAGAATGAAAACATGGGTAAACACAAGGCCTTTAGTTGTGAGCGAATGCCTGTGTCAACTGGCTCTAGCTAAACGTAAGGCGAAAAAATAATTTGACCTACAAGGAAGATGGAGCCCTGCTAGTGCCAAGTGGCGAGAGAGAGGCTATGTCTATGAGAAGGGCTGAGTAGACGGGGACCAATGAATGATGTGGCGGGAATGTTGGCCTCTCGGTGACTGTAACAATACATAATATAATTGGGTGTGACTTGGTGAGGCCCTAATTAATAACTGACAGTGGTAAATATGAGGCTCTTGCTATGCGTTGGATTGAGGGGTGTATACCTCTGACGAGGATGGGTGTTGGCCTCACAGGAGTAGATTAATTACAGTAAGCTAGGGACGAATGCTAGTAATAAAAGCCAATTGACCAATCCTAGCCTATGGGGGTATTGTGAATATTTTTTGTTTTGTTTTTTACTAAACTTTTTTTTAGTAAAACTCACCTGTAGAAATGACAGTGGTTCTGTCATCTGCATTGCTAGTAGTGATTATCTGAGGATAAAACTACAGTTATCCTCTTAACAATATGGGAAGGTATATAAAGACAAGAGATGAGGTGACATTAGGTATACCTGTAACGTGAAGGGAGTACGAATCCAATGAATTCCTCAAAGTTTTGGGGGAGATTAGTGATGGTAACAAAGGCCTGAAAATAGAGTATGGAAGAGAACATGAGGGGACATGTGGTCACTATCATGCATGCCAAAGTAAATACATGGAGGGAAATGGACATTACTGTGAGGGATAAGCTTGAGTGTGCTAAGCTTGTTAGCAGTATACTTAGGAATTGCTGAGAATTAGGGGAAGTGGTAAGGGAGCTTGCAATTACGTAGAAGTGTGGCAAGTGAATAGACATTGGTGACCAGTAATAACAGTGTGCTGGAACGGATGTGACTATGGGTAAAGAGCCGTATGTAGGGAATTTTATGGGATAGATGAGACATGGGGTATTCATATAAAAATGATACAAGTTGCTAAAGAAAGCACATGATTATACATACCGTATGAATGTAAATAGATATACGTCTTTAATTGGTATATTGGTGAACTGAAGGCAATCAAATGCAACAATGAGGA